GTGCACCGGTGGAGCCGACCCTCTTTTTCGAGGTGCTATTGGACGCCTTCATGAAAGGGCGAATCACAGACATGGCCCCTCTTTACTGGAGTATTAGTCGGGGTTGCGCTCTGCACAAGTCGGCCCAACCTGGGCCTCGTGGGAAACGTGTGGTCCACGTCCTCCCCGTCGTGGGCAAAGCCTTCTTCGCCGATCTCCTCCCCAGCGAGCTCCCCCCCGAGGACTATGGGTTCCAGAGGCACCGTCGTAGGGAAGGGACTGTCTTGGCATCTCAGGTGGTTGGGTGGAGACTACGACAGGCGGGATGGAGCTTCGGGGCTAGCCTCGAAGATATGAGTAACGCGTTTGGTAGCACCTCCTGGACGGCCATGGATACGAGTATGGCCTTACATGTTTCTGATGAGAATTTATTGTTGTGTAAGAAACGATATCGTGATGCTGTGGTTTTACTACCTAGTGATGAGGGGGATGTGGCGGTCAAGGCCAGGGTGGGAGGAGTGATGGGTGATCCGTTCATGGTGGCAGCGTCCTCTACTGCGTTTCAGCGTCCAGTGCAGCAATGGGCGGAATCGCTCTGTGCTGCTGACCCGTCTTTGCACCTTTTACGCGCTGAGTGGCAAGGTCAGGAAGTTGATCTTAGCCTATTTAAGTATGCGGACGACCTTTATCGCTACACCCTGATCGCTCAGGGCGACCTCATGGGCTCCTTCCTCGCCAAGTTGCGCGAGGCAGACGATTTGCTAGACTCTCACCTCCAGGAATGTGGGTACCAACAGAATCGGGGGAAACAAGAGCTGGCAGTCTGGCTTGAAGGGGAGGGGGCCATGGCTTGTCGTCGCTGGCTTCGTGGGCCTGGACGGGCTCTCATCTCTGGGGTTCTGAAGGAGGAGGTGCGGTATCTGGGGCCCCACGTCTCTATGTCCCAGGCCTCGAGCCAGGAGGTGATCAGACGACATCAGGCTGCACGCTCGGCCTTCTACTCCCTCGGCGGTTTCTGGACGTTATCCCTCCCTTGGAAATTTACTCGGGCGATCTTCTTATCCCTTGTGCAGAATTCGGCTCTATGTGGAATGGGGGCGTTCTTGCTCGCGAAGCAGCAGTGCGCCCGCCTGGATGCCACTATCGCTCATTTTGCCCGTGTTTGCATGCGAGGGCGTGCAAGATGGACTACTTCAACTGGCGCAGTCAGGACAATGTCCAATCAGGCCGTGCTAAAACACTGGCGTATTTGTGAGACCTCGGTGGAGCTGGGCATTCGCCGACTTAACTGGTGCAAGTCTTGGGCTGCCCACCCCACCAGCCACGCCCAGTTGTTTGTGGCCCTCTTCGGGGAAGTGCGTTTCGAGTCGGGGGAGGCGCCTCTCGTCGACGGATACCTGACCCCCAGGGCCTCCCCCTGGGCTCGCAGGGTCTCTGAGGACTTCTACTGGGCACAGGGGCTCATACGTGATTCTGAGGATGTACTGGGAGCTCTTGGTGATCGTCCTGGCCTCACGTGGGACCCCGAGGTGCGCCGCGAACTCCTGAACATCGACTTCACTATGATACGGAGTTGTTTCTTTGGAGTGACTATCGCCCCCCCTGGTCTGAAGGTTGAGGTGGAAGGAGGGGGAGGTCGTGATCATGAGACACGAGAATTTCCCGAACTCGAAACACGTTATCGCTGCCAGTTCGAGGGGTGTGAAGAGGAGTTCGCCACGCGTAAGGGCTTGATGGCGCACATGAGGTCCCGCCACTCGCTGCGCTCCCTGTGCCACGTGCTCACCCCCAGTGACGCATGTATATGCTGCGGGGGGGTTTTCTGGGGCAGGGCATGTGCTGCTCGGCATCTTGTGCTTGCTGTGCGACGGGGGCACTGTCGATTCGGTGTGTGGTGGTGGGGGGGGGGGGGAGAACGTTTCGCCCTCTCGAGCCTCCATCGTCATTGTCGTGTCCTCAGTGCGACGTAGAAGCTTCAGATTTTGATGCGCTATGCCAACATCTACGCGGCCACTTGCCTGGCCCTGTTCTCCCGCGGACCCGCTTTTTTCGGGGGCGCTCTGGGGCTCATGGCGGAGCTCACGCCGCCCGAGTGGATGCAGGCCCTGTCGGAGACGAAAAGGGGGGCGGAGGAGGGCCCAGGCTCGGATGGCAAGCCGCCGAAGCACGCCAAGGGCGGGGCCAAGGGCGACAAGCACGAGAAGGACCTCACCAAGGCCCTGGTGCTCCTCCTCACCAAGCTGCGCCTCACCTCGGCGCGGGGGCTCGCCAACTTAGCGGGCGCAGTCTACCGGGCGTGGGGGCTCCTCGAGTCAGGCGACGGGATCACGCAGATTATGATCGACTCGGGGGTCACGTACGACGAGATGTCCAGGCAGATGAAAGAACGTCAGCGGGCAGGCGAAAAGGTAGACTTTCGCGCTCGTGGGCCCCCGCGCGTGCAGCTGATGGCCGCGGTCTGCCTTAACCTCGCGACCAACGTGGAGAAGTTCATCCAGGGAGGCGAAGAGGACTACGTGGAGGCGGAGACCAAGACGTTCCACGGGTACTTCGCGAAGTACATCCAGGGCGCCGCCCCACACGCAGTGGGCAACCACGTGCTGCACTTTCGGTGCAGTAAGCACAAGGGGGGGAAGACCATCGAGACGAGTGGCTCATCGAGCCAGCAGCAGCAGACGAAGAAAGGACGCGTGACCTTCGCCTTCAGCTACAACGAGCCTGGCATGATGGTGAGGGAGCTGGTTCTCTGGTGGCTCAACTACGAGGAGGACCAGAAGAGGGCGGAGCAGCTGATCGGCCCAGCCCCGAAAGGACCTCTCGAGCGAGAAGCCGCGAGGATCCTGAATATTATCGAGAAGAAATGAATGAGGTTTCGGGTCCAAGTGGGCCAGTGAGGCCCGCGCGGCCTGTGAGGGAGGAGGATAGGAGTAGGAGTAGAAGCCGTGAAAGGAGAAAGGGGGATGCGAGAAGATCCTCACAGCCCAACAGGGGCGCTTTTTCAGGTAGTGTGCGTTTGGCAAGTCTAGTGGCCAGGGGAGTGATTTCAGATCCCTTTCGGACCCGCGTTTTTGCCACGTATCAGCAGGCCGATCTTCCCATGATTCCCTTTGTGGTAGCGCCCAAGCGGGCCCCGCGAAGGGGGAGCGGCAGTGCTAAAGGCCGAGGGCCCAGCCAATAGTCGGTCCCTTAGGTGGCCCCTCCCAGTGCGCCTGCGTGGCGTCACGGGGGTTCGTCACCAGCGGGGGCAGTGCTGGTCCAGCCAGTGCGGGCTGCCCCGTCTCTTTTCAAGTGATAACCCGCATCCCGCTAAGTCGGGTTGCGCAGAGTTCTTTGCCAGGTTTCATGGTGTGAGTCGAGCAACTCATTTGAACTCCCCGCGCATTGCTCATTGCTCATTGCTCCTCCTCTGCCTTCAACTGTTTTTTTTTTTTTTTTTTTTTTTTGTTGTTTGTTATATATATATATATATATATATATATATATATATATATATATATATATTTATTTATTTTTTTTTCCGTTTGTCGGCGCGGATCGATGAGTCGGGGAAAGCATGCAGCGCGTGTAGGCGTTCAGCCTCGTAGACCACCTTATCCGAGTGGATGGAATCCGAGTGCTTGAAGCAGAGTTTTGTTGACGGGGGGTTGTCTGCTGTTCCCACGCGGGCTCGCTTGCATATATCGGGGGCTGGGTGAACAGCAGTCGCAGCATGCGTCTGCACATCCACATGCGTCTGTGGTTTTGCGCGAGTTGCGGATCTGTTGGTAGTAGCCGGACAGTAGATCTGAGACAACCTTGTCTTGGGGCTCCGAGATCGAACCGTCGAGAGCATTGAAATCGGATCCACACCGATCGATGGCCGGGGGCTTTCAGCAAGGCCGAGTTGGTCACGCGTGGTCGTTCGTGGCTAACGTCATCTCGAACTCGCTCTGTGACTGGTCTCACTCATTCGCTCCTCCCCCTCATCGCCCCTGGGGTGGAACCAGCTTGAGGTGCAGACGTCCAGGGCGCAGCCTGGGATCCTGCGTGCGCGTCCGTAATGGTGACCTTTCGTCGGGGCGCCCTCTGGTGCGGACCCCATGGGCCCCCCCCGATCGCTGAACCCGATGCGATAGCAACTGCTTGCGCGCCTGGTGGTGTCCCTGAAGGGCTTCGCTCTTGGGCCACACATAGAACATCACTCTTGCCTAGGGTCGCTCATTGCGTGGCGCCGATATCGACTTCCCTGGCACCGCCCTCGGTGCAATGATGGCGGTCACGCGTAATCTTGTTTATCTAAGCAGAGGTGGTTGTCGCAGGGATGTGCAATGCGCATGCCGCATGCCATCCGCCAGATACGAGGTGTTGTCAGCGGTTCTTGGAAGAGGCTCCAGGGTCACAAGGTTCCTTGTCCCCCAACCTTCCCGAGCAGTGCTTTCAAGGATGGGAGAGCCCATGGGCCCAACCTGGATGGACAGGGTTATGTCCACCCTCAGGCCAACAGCAGTACAGTACAGTTGCTCTGCTCCCCCCCCCTCCCCCCCCCTTTCCCGGGGTCCAGACGCTTCATGCGGCAGCCTGGGTGCCGTTTTAGGAATGCTAGCAGCGAAGACGTCGGGGGTCTTTTGCCGACTCGGGCCGATGGCGAATACCGAGCAAAACCATTGACGACCAGCATCGAGGAGAATGGCTCCTCCCTCTCTCGTCCTTTCCCTTCCCTCCCTCCCTCGCTCCAACCCTCCTGGTCCATCTCCCCCCGCCCCCTTCTCCTCTCCTCCCCTCCTCCGCATGCTACCTCTTGTGACAGTCGTGTTGTTGCAGAGGTCTGCGCCATTCCGCCGACCAGCAAACGAGAGGGCTGGGAAGAGGAACGGCATGAAAAGGGAAAGCAGGAACAACCGGGAACATATCGATCGGGGTCCTGGTTTGGCCCTCAGGTGGGAGCTATCGCGTGCGTGCTGTCAGGACGAGCGGGAGCCAGAGGCGCAGGACGATGGTCATGATGGGTGTGGTGGTGGTGAGGAGGGGGGAGCGAATTCGAGGAGAAGCATGGTGTCAAGTTCGCTCGCGGGATGGTGCCCGACAAGTTCGAGAAGACAGCCGACGGCAGAACCAAGGCCGCGCGTCACACTCTCCCTCGTTCTGCACCCCTGCCATCTCTCAGGCCTCTTGTCCATGTTCGCTCATCGGCGGGCGAGCCGACAGGGGGCCGTCGAGGATGCTGCAGCATCAGCAAGCCACGGTGCAGTCGAGCCTGATTAGCAGGCCGGCCCTGCCGAGTCAAGGGTATCCTGGTGGCCTGTGTGTCGCGTCTCACGCCCCGTGCATTCCTGGGGCAAGGCAGGGCTGCCTATGATCCGATTCGGTGCGGTTCGAGTCGACCGCTGGGGCCGCGAATTCGATCACTCTGGGTTTCTTAACATGCATTGGGGGGTACACCTCCGACGGGGGTCAACCTCGCCTCGTCGTCGCGCCGCGACGGGGGTCGGAGCGCCTTTGGCGCGCGGTGGCTGCCCGCGACGGGGGTCGATGTGGGGCTGTCGGCGGGGCTGACGCCCCCCCCGACGCTTGTTAAGAAACTCGGAGTAAGGTTCTCTCAGAAGGCGGCGGGGCTCCACAGAAGCCCTCCAGCCTTCTGTGGGGAAGCCTTCTGTCTTCGGGGAAGGCCAGGGGGCTTCCGAGCCCCTCTGAGAAGGCCCGCCCCCTCTCTTTCCCCCCTGGGGCCGATCATGTGGCTGGCCGCCGTCGATCATGTGGCTCCGAACGGGACCCCAGGAGAAAGGAAGACTTTTGAGACGGGCGACGCCGATCTCTCAAGTCCGCTCGGCGTCGCGTGCATGGTCGCCGCATGACGCCTTCGCTCGCACTCCGACGTCTCAAACGTACAGTGGCGTCTCCGGCGCGGCGCGGCGACTCCGACGCGGGCGTTCGAGGTTGAGCAGGCCGCCACCAGGCCAGAGTCGGCCGGCTCGGCCAGAAATCGAAGAAGAAAAAAGAGCACGAACATGAATTTTCGACGGTCCGCGCGGATTTCTTGGATCGGCGCCTGGGCCACCTCGGCGGCGCTTCCGGCGCCGCCCCTGGCGCGCTCCGCGCGCCAGGGAGGGGGGTCCGGCGCAGATCCAAGGAATCCGCGCGCACCGTCGATTTATGTTTATGTTGTTGTTGTTGTTGTTGTTGTTGTTGTTGTTGTTGTTGTTGTTGTTTTTTTCTTATTTCTCTTCTGGGAAAGAGCCGCGGTCGCTCTGCAGTCGGGCCGAGGTATAAGATCGAGGTCGATTCGGTGAGGGTGCTGGTACGGTTGAGTAACGTTCCAGGGTACCTTTGCATCCCTGTCTGTGCGGCCTATCCTTGGGCGGCCCTCAGCTGAGAGAACACAGGCTTGGGCGTCCAAGGGGTTTGCATCCTTGCCGCGCATCCCTATCATTCGCGTCGACTGTAGTGTTCTTCGTGTTTGTTGGTGTTCTTGTGCATCCTGGGGGCGGTACCCTTGGATGTTCTGCTTGTGTTGGCCGATGGAGGGTCTCGTGTTCTTGAGGGACGTTCTTCTGGCTTCGGTCCGACAGCTCAGCGCAGACATCAGGAAGGAGATTCGACGCCACAAGCGACGATCAAGACGAGAAGGAATAGCAACAGTGCTGTCGACATTTCGTGGCCTCAAAACAATCACTAACATCAAGACGCGCAAGAAGCGGCGCCTCATCACGCACATGGTGAACCGCGACGGCGACAGGTGCACAACTCGCGAAGACATGGCGAATGTGTTCGACCACTTCTTCGAGTCCCTGTGCAAGTCCACCGGTCTACCGCGACCACCACCATCACAGCACCAACATGACGCGATCCCAGCATTCACGACCGACGATCTCCACGACGCAATCTCACAGCTCAAATGCGGGAAGCACCAGAAACCAACGGTATCACAGATGAGATGCTAAAAGCAGCATTTTGCGAGCTCAAGGATGCGTTATTACTTCATCTCTACAACACAGTTTCCAGACCTGGAGCCCCCCGACCAGACAGCTGGCGGCAAACAGTCATCCCCGTCATCCCCAAGAGCTGAGACCTAACGCAAGCGTCCAACTACAGACCAATCTGCACCATACCACTGCTATACAAACTCTACAGCCGCCTCCTGTACAACCGCCTCAAGCCCACATTAGACAAGCAACAGACCGCTGACCAAGCCGGATTCCGACCTCACCACTCCACGACCGACCACCTCTTCACGTTCCAACTCCTACGTGAACATGCCAATGAATGGAGTCAAATCCTATGGATGGCAGCACTCGACGTCAAGAAGGTCTTTCAACTTCGTCGAACACAGGAGCCTTTGGCAAGCACATCGCACGCAAGGCGTACAGCCAGGCTACATAGCCATGCTCCGAGAAATATGGCACGGTCAGACGGCCACGGTGAAAACCGACGCCCGCAGCCGACCATTCGCCCTGCTCCGAGGCACCAATCAGGCTGACCCTCTCAGCAGCGTGCTGTTCAACTGGCTGCTGCAGCACATCATGCATCCACTCACCGGCAAGTGGGCGGCAACCAACCACGGAATACAACTCGGCGACACCAGAGCGAGCATACTCACCAACTTCCGCTTTGCGGACGACGTGCTCCTGGCAGCCCAAACACTACCACGATGGACAACCATGCTCGCCGACATTGTCACAGCAGCACGGCGCCACGGTCTTGAGCTACACCCGACTACGACCACGATCGTGACGAGTCTCAGCAAGCGCACAGGCAGAGCATGCGCACACACAGCAGATATCGAAGGCATGAGCATCGAAATGCTACCACACACTGGCAAACTTAAGTACTTTGGCCAGAAGATAAGGTTCCACAACGTGACGGACACGGAGCTACAACACCGACTCTGGTCATCGTGGGCAACTTTCACCAATGCACGAACTGACCAGCTCAAACTATCCGCTTTCCCACCGACTCTGGCTCTTCGATTCGACGGTTCTGCCCACTGCACTCTAAGCTGCAGCAACGTTGACGCTCACATAACCTCAACGACGGCAGCTGCACACCACCCAGATGCGTATGATCCGCATGATCACCAACACACCAAGACGCCGACAGCCACGACCATCATCCCACCTCATCGTCCCATTCACCGCGACAGCTTCTACGCCGCATCCGACACCCGACTCCGACGCTACATCTTCCACAGACGATGTAGACAGCAATCCACCCGTGACCGACGACGACCACGCCCACGAGGACACAACTTGAAGGACACATCGCCGACAACCGCGACGACCTCGAGCCATGGGTCGACTTTGTGCGCCGAGCAACCCACCGTGCGACACATGTCATGCAGTATCACAACGTGAAGCTCTGGACTCTGGACTACTACACAGCGACGTCTAGCACGGCGGTTCGCAGACACTGTGGCCAACCACCCGACTCACAGATGGACGAAATCTGTTGTTCATTGGCATCCTACTGGCAACCACCGTCAACACGCACGGAGAGCGCAAGGCCGACAAGCCAAGAGTTGGGTTGACGACCTTACGAACTACCCCCGAGCCCAGCTCCCTGATCGACACCCGGTCGCCCCGCAGAACCTCCGACATCCTCACGACCCGGACGACATCAGATGGATGACGACAGCCGCCGACACTACATTATGGCTGCAGCTCGAGGAGGGATTCATCGGAGCACCAGCGCGGAGAACCAGGACTGTAAGACCTGACATCAGCATGTACCACGGCGCCAGCGATGCACGCTTTTTCATGTTAGCAGTCGAACCCCGTTCTAATCAATGGCGCTTAGCAGAGAGGCTGCGTTCTGAATATTCGCGCCCTACTGGGCACGGATACTGCTCCGAGAGCGAGCGCGAATCGAATCGAAATCGGTCTGGCTGTATGTTGAACAGTCCGCACGGTGTCAGAAGCACACGCACCAAGCGTCGGCGATCCAGACCTCCACCAGGCCCGTCTGGGCCAGGAGAGGACGCCCCGTACGCCGAAATGTTGGAACGCCGGGGTTGAGCAACATCGCCCTCCATTCATTCGGATGCAACTCCTGGGAGGCCACATTCAGATTTTGCCTGGTCCAGAATGCTTAATCTGGCTCGATTCCGGTTAATAATCTGGCTGAATCCCGCTTAATCCGGCTTCATCCCGCTTATTCCGAGGCCCAATCTGGCGTAGCAGCCCCCCAATGGGGCCCAATCCTTTTGAATCCTTCCGACGAAGACCTCCCAGCAGTTGCCTCCTAACATTCATGCCGTTCCCTCCGTTCCCTCCGTTCCCTCTCCCCTCCCTCCTCGCAGAAGGGGTGGGCGCCTGGACCGCCCGAGAGGGGTGAAGGACGCAAGGTCGCAGCGAGAGCAGCAGCGCGGAGTTGCCGCTCGCGCCTGGCTTCAGTTCCACAGTTTCGCAGGCCCAAGTTTGACACTGACACCAATATCGGCGGTGTGCTTCCACCGAGGCAAGAAGATCCCGATCTCGGTGATGGTGGCAATACTCTGGCTTCCAAGGTGACCGAAATATTACCACCAACACCGAAATCTAGGATCATCTTCCCCCTGTGGAGGCAACCCCCTGTGTTGGTGTTGGTGCCCATTGCCAGGCCTCTAACAGTTTGCTCATGTTTACTACCAGTTTGAAACGCATCCCGATCCTATGTTTGGCATCACCTTGCATCGGTGCCCACCCATCTTAGGGATTCCCTCGGTTTCTGAGGGCGCATCCCTAAGGCTGTCGTCGCCTTGGGCTTGCCGACCTTAGGGATAGGGATCTGGTCGAGGCTGGTTACTCCGAACTTCTTATCAATCAACTGGGGGGTGACAAACGTGAAAAGCCGGCGCGGCCAACCCCCCCGGCACCACCGTCGCGCCCCAGTGGGGGAGTGATCGAACCCCAGTCCCCCCCTGGCACCTCCGCGGACGCGCCGCGGCCAGCCTCCCCGGGCACCCCAGAGTACGCACGGCCCGCCCCGGGAGCTCAGCGTCAGGACGCGGTGGCACCTCCTGGGGCGCATTTTCCTACTCCTTTCTTCCCCCTGGCCCAGGAGCCTGAGCTCCCAGACTGCCAGCCCCCCCCCCCCCTAACCACCGCCCGACGGCACGCGCCCGTCCCCCCCCCCCTCCCCGAACCCAAGGGGGGGGGGGCGATTATTTCTCCGGAGCACGCCTGGCCCGCTCCGGAAGCCCTGCATCACAGCATGCCGGCACCCCTCGGGGCGCACCCTTTTCGCTCGGCGGTGAGCGAGGGAGGGAAGCAAGAAGGAGAAGGCTTTCCCAGGAGGCGGCGGGATTTCTCAGAAGCCTTGGTGCCTTCTGAGATGTGTTCTCTGTCTTCGGGGAAGGCTCAGGAAACTTCTCAGAAGGCTGTGGGACTTCCGAGCCTTTGAGAAGGCCTTCTCCTTCTCACTTCTCCCTTGGGCTCGCCGCCGAGTCACAGCATGCTGGCTCCTCTCGGGGCGCACCCTTTACTCCCGCTGACCTCCCGCCAGCTTCTGCTGGCGAAGCTGCCCTCGTCTCACTTCCGCCGGCTTTTGCTGGAGGACGTGGATGATGATGATGATGATGATGATGATGATGATGATGATGATGATGATGATGATGATGATGATGAGATGAGGAGGAGAGGAGGAGGGAGAGGAGGAAGGAGAGAGGAGAAGAGGAGGAGGAGGGAGAGGAGGAGGAGGAGGAGGAGGAGGAGGAGAGGAGGAGGAGGAGGAGGAGGAAAAGGAGGAGGAGGAGGAGGAGGAAGGGAGGAGGAGGAGGGAGGAGGAGGAGGAAAGGAGGAGGAGGGAGGAGGAGGAGGAGGAGGAGGAGGAGGAGGAGGTGGGTGAGGGTGAGGGGGAATGGCTTCTCAGTAGGAGGCCACCTCTGAGGAGGCGCGGGCCTTATCTACAGGTGTTAGGCCCGCGCCTTATCCGAAGTGGCAGAAGCCTTTCCGCCTCCCCCTCCCCTCCTTCGGAGCGTCGCCAAGAAGTCGCTTTAGACATCCCGAGCCCGCGAGGTGTTCGTCAACGGCGAGGTCTTCGGCGAGTATGACACCGTGCTCATGGCCATCGGCCGCACCGGCTGTGCCGGCTGGCTGAACCTGAAGGCGCGCCCTTGGCGTGGCCGTACCGCCTCCGCGGCCGCGGCCGCGGGGAGGAGGGATGATCGATGTTCCTTGAAGCTCCTGGTCCCTGAGACCCAACAGCTTGCCTAAGGAAGATATCGATGATCCTCAGGACGAATGCTAGCCAAATGTGTGTGAATCCCTTTCAGCTCCGTCGACAGCACGTAGCCTGTGCAGGTCCCAATTGCACCGCCTGCGTCGTGTTGGAGAGTTTCGATGGGCAAGCACTCATTTGTGCTAAAACACTTTTTCACGTTCTGAGGATCATCAAGATGACGACTGGCATCTGGAGGCCCTTTTCTCTAGCTGGTGGTGGTGGTAGGCACGTTCCAGGTCCTGGTTGTGCCAGTGGAGCACGCTCCTCAACCGGGTACTCTTGCAGCATCGTGGACTCCCAGATTTCAGTTGGAGGAGTCGGTGACGTCGCTGGCGATGTGTGGTACAACCTTCATGGTGTCGGTTATGAGGTGCATGTTATTTGATGCAACATATTTTGCGCAACATGGTCCGTGTGTATCATTTTACATGTATGTATATGTGCACGTGATGCTAGCTATGCGGTGCAAGCTATGTGGTGCAACATGTGTTGCAGATGGCATGTGGTGCAAGCCATGCGACGTGCGCTAGATGGTACAATCCATGTGGTGCATCCGATGTGGCGCAACCTGTGCCTATGCGCCGCAAGCCATGAAGTGCAAGACCTTTGGTGCAGGCTGAGTGATATGCGATCCGTGCGGGGAAAGATCGGTGGTGCGAGCCGGGCGTCGCAGGCTCCGCGGTGCAGGCTGCGTGGTGCAGGAGTCCGAACACGCCAGTGGCCGCGCACGGGGCGTCCACGCGGCGGCGATGGGGGCGGCGGCATGGCGCGAAGCACCCGGAAGGGACATCTGGGAGGAGTAGGAGGAGGAGGAGGAGGAGGAGGAGGAGGAGGAGGAGGAGGAGGAGGAGCAGGAGGAG